AATTATAATAATAAAAGTTTTTCTTTATAAATAATTTTATAATATTCTATTATAATTAATATAATTAAAAGTAAATTTTAAAAAGTTTATCATAAATTAATCATGAAAATTTTAATATAATTTTTTTTAAAAATTACAAATTTTTAGTTTCTAAGTAAATATTAAATTTTTTTCATATAATTAAAAAATAATATTTGTTATAATATATTATATATTTATTAAAAAAAAATATTAATTATTTATAAAAGTAAATCAAAAGAGAATTTAAGCAAGCAAATTTGTTTGCAAAACCTTACAATTTAAGTAATAGGTCTTTTAGTTTTTAAAGTGACCTAAAGATTAATGACCAATCATCATTTAAATCATTTTATATCACTTGCCATTACTATATTACACTATCTGGATAACTGCTAAATCATTACTACTATTCTCATGAAATTTTTTTAACTAAATCCTTCAGATATTCTCTAAAGAATCATATACTATTATTATTAAGGACTTGAATTCACCATCAATTTTTAACTAATTGATATAATCAATAAATATACTTGATCATCAGATTAAAATCAATCTATCTATTGTGTTGAAACTAAATAATTACATCAGATGAAATTAGATCACATTTTATATAATAATTGTTTATCTTTAAAAATATAGATCAGTGAAAATTTTGTTCCATCTAAAATCAAAAATTTATAAATATTTAAATTTATTTCTTACAAAGATTAAGTATTATAAAGAAATAATAAAAATAATCACAATCTGCAGAATATGTTAAAACAACTATAAATCAGTTTTTTTTCATTGCCAGTTCTACAAATATAAACTTTTTTTGCCTATCTGATTAATTATATAGTTTAAAGCAACTTTCTATTTTAAGATAAATAATAAATTGATAAAAGTTTTGTAATAATTCATTAGTTTATAAAGGAAGTTTTTGTGAGATCTTAATACATTATCATCAAGAAAGATTAAATTTTTTTATAAATGTAAATATTCAATAATTTGAAGATTTAAAATTTTTTGCTAAATCTTTAATAAAGCCTTTTTATTTTAGATTCTATTAAAACCTCTATCATTTTAACTTATACTATTATAAAAATAATACCTAATTTCTGCTTTCTTTTTTCTAATTATTCAATTATATAATTTTTGTTCTATTTCTGAGTAAAATAGTTTGATCAGAATCAACTCGCTTGCTATTTTGGTTCAGTTTAATTTTTCAGTTTTTACTTGCCTTTACTCAATGACCAACTATATTATTATCAAGACCAAATTGTTTTACTACTTCATTTCTACTATTTTTTAACATAAGTGATGATTTGTTTCTTTTTCTTAATTAAGTATGAATTGCAAAGCTACTTGACAGTTTTTTTATGTTTATAAACTTGTTTTTCTGAGTAAACTTTTTTATTTTTTGTAATAGTATGTTATGTAAGTTAAATAGGTTTTGTGATAAAATTCATTTGTACTTTCATGATAAATTTGCATTATGCTACACAAATAATATTCATAATGATACTGCAAAAGCTAAAACTAGATAACCTTCTATTTAACTTACTTTCAGTTTTAATAGTAGTATTAGAAGTATTTTTTATAACTAAATGGGTAGTATGCTATTAGAATTGCAGTACAAGACATAATAAATCATATGATCTGTATCTTAATTTTAATAGCACATTACTCAAATCACTTTCTACGATAAGCAATAACTCAAATTTTACTGTTTCCATCTGTAATTATTGCACAACTATAGATTATTAAATGATCATTAAACATTTTGTATTACTCTTTTAATCTTTGAAAAAAAAGCTTTGGAATTTCTTTTTTATTATCCAAAATTAAGCATTCTCATAGTAAAAAAAGAATGCTTAATTTCAGAATGGTATGGTATGTCAAATAATTTAGAACAGTTTAGACTTAATTGAAAAATAGATTTTTACATCTGTTTTATCACCAAATATATTGCATATTGATTATAGTAAATGATATTTATAAAGATATTGATCATTAGATTGGCAAAATTTTATATAATATTTTTCTGTGATTTTATAATAAGTTAATTTGTTATATTTTTCCAAATTGAACAGTTATTACATTAAAATATTCATAGACTTCTTGCAAACATTTTTATAATCCTAAAAAAGCAAATAGTTTATACGTTGTATTGATCTTTTGTTCGATCAGTTCTAGATCAATGCATTAATATTCTTTGTACCAGGTACCTGGAAAAACCAACATTCCTTTGTATTAAGATTTGACATAGGTCCCTATTGATGAAAGTTTGTCCAAATCTTATTCCGTGAAATAATGCATGTGTCTTGTAGATCAACCACTCGGATTTGGCGTAGGGACCTTTTGCAATATAGCTCCATTATTTAAGTAAAGCCAAATTTTAGTGGCGAATCAACTTATTTTAAAATATTTATTTTAATTTCGATGTCGAGGTAGAGAAGGGTGGATTTTCTAAATTATAAGTAATACTTGACATTATTATTATTATTATTATTTTGTCAATAGAAAATATCACCGATTAATAAACGGTCATGAGCCTAAATTAAAACATCTAATTCATTCATTTCTATACAAAGATTCATTTACAAGGAGGAATTCCTGTTTCATTATGAGGAGTCTTGCTACATAAGAAAAATATTTTTTTTCACATATTTTATTAGGTTAAATTTTTTGTAAATAAAAATCATTCTTTATTCTACAATTAGAATTGTTGGCGTCAATATACTCAAAACTATGACTAACCAATGTATTTTGTCGGTCTTTCTTTTTTTAATTTCTCACGTAAATTTATGATTGAGGTAATCTTCATGTGGAAACTGTGTTCGTTTCAAAATCATTGGTTCGGAATATTTTCTTACTATTACGAAACATTCTTTTATTCTTAAATTCGTTTAGAATCTTTTTACGGTTTAGTAATTTAAAAGCGCCATATTGCTTCATGTGTATTAAACACTCATTTTAAAAATCGGGAGAATTTTTTTTATTCATTTTATAAAATAAATAAATAAATAAATAATGATAATGATAAGCTCCTTCTTTTCCAAAAACTAAACTATTTTAATTATTCATTTATTTTATTTATATTATTAAAAGTTGAACTAACTAAATATAGAGATGATCGAACTTGATCAAACATCAGTTTTTTTTATTTTATTTAAGGTAAACTAAAAACATCTGGTAAAATTTCAGGGCTTGATATTTACAATGAGTTGTGCATTTATATTTACTACAACGAACAAGAAATCATCTTTAAATGTCGGAATCTATTGATACCGCAAGGAAAAAGTCTTAGCCAATAATATTATAATAAAATACCTTGGTTATTATTTTTATCGAAAAATGGCTTCGTTGTTATAATGAATTATGTCTACCATTTTACAAAACGTTCGATTCGTTATATGCCGTGTAATTTAAAATTTCGTAATTACAGAGCGACTGCATAGATAAATATTTATTATGTAATTTTTCAAGTCTGTAAGCTGCGCATAAAGTCAGGTGCCTACGAAATTGACCATACGGAATTTTTTAAAAATAATCACTATCGATGAAACTTCATTGATCAACAACAAATCTCATGCACAACCCTATCCTATGTCTAAAGGATCATTTATAAAAATGAAAAAAAAAATAAAATGCTTTTTTACAAAGTTGATTTTCATAAATTAGATAATATGCATTCCCAACCAAAATCTCTTGTATCGTGTCAGATTTTGGTTGATCATTTTTTTGGCTCTTCTAACGCATAAATAGAAGACGACTTCTTATTTGAAAGACGAAATCCTTCGTTCATGAAATATAATATGCAACTATATACCCCTCCCAAATGAAATGCTAAGTTTATTTGAAAATTTGAACGAAGTTAGATAAATCACTCGAACTAACCCGATTAAATTGGATCATACATACCAATAATGGCGGAGATATGTATCCATAAAGTCTCCTCATAACCAGACATGACGCATATACCATATAACGTTAAAGGTAACCATTTTAAAAAAATCGAAATATAGATCAAAATTTTTAACGTAGCCTGCCTTTCCAATTTCTTCCGTCTGTTGATTCTATCAATTGAAGTCGCCATTTCTCTATCCACATTAAAGATCACTGATAATGTTTTAACATAACAGTAACATGATATAATAAAAGATACAGCAAAAACAACAATTGCACTAATTAGCAATATATTTATTGTATTAGAAATGGTAGCTGACGTTAAACACCAAAATTTCGTTGGTCCTAGAAAAGGAATTGATAGAGTCGAGAATAATAACGATGCTGCAAAAATACAAGCAATGAATTTCCTATTAAGATATAGATAAATGGATGGGTTAATTCACGTATATTAAATCATCATGTGACTTAATAGTAAAGCTTACCAATCAAACTTTCCCAGGTCAAAGATTTTGTTTCTTACAATCCTCTAAATACCGCGGGTTAGAAATTTTTTTTTTGTAAAAAAAAAATAACATAACAAAGTTTGCTTACCAAATAAGTGACAATTGCAATGCCGGCCATTAAAATCATATTGAAATTTATTTGAAGAAAGAACAGGTATGCTAATACTTTACAAGGTTTTTCAGGAATAACCTTATGATAAATCAACGAATAAAAAAAATTTGGCATGAAAACCATATCTAATAAAGATGAGAGGAATTAATTAAACGGCAGCTATGGTCACGAATATTGATTTATTCATTTTTATAATTTATAATTACATTGGAATATGTCTGAAATACTGAGATATAGAGGAACTCGACTTGACATTGATAAAGAACTTGTGCGCCATTTCGTATATGCAGAGTAGATCTAAAAAATATCATGAAACGTTACATTATGTTACCACGAATTAACATGGTTTATGAGAATAACATACCACTAAAGAACTGGTGATCATATCTATATGGCCGAAAATTAAAGCAACGATCACAACACTTAAGTTAAAGTTTTCGATTGTGTCAGTCTGCTGAAGCGATACGGTGTCATTAATTGCTGGTACATTTATACTTGAATTATTTAATGAAGTGTGGGATAACTCGTGTGATTTTACAAAAGGAAATTTTATTATACATGTCGTTATATAGAAAAATAATATTTTCGTGATGAATGAAAATTTATACATAATAAATCGTAAAGGCTAGATGCAAGTGAATATGATTATCGTAGAAATAAATTTTTATAAGGAAAAATTCAAGGAAAAAGGATTCAGTGGCCAAAAAAAAAAAAAAAAAATGGTCGAGTATTTAATGAATCTTGATTTTAATCTCATTAAAGGATCGTGTTTTAAATTAGATTTGTTTATCTTTATTTTTATCGATGTGAGTTGAATTAGGTTAATGTCGCGTTCACCTTTAATTTTAAAAATATATTATATAGTATAATTTAAACGGAAAATTTTCAAATAAGCCCCTGAGTAAATGATCTCGTCCGGCCCGCGATATGAAACATGAATTCGAGTCAAGTAAATAATAATAATAGAATGTGTCATACTATATTTAACATGATACAATTTAACCCCATGTCGATCATGTATTTAAAAAATAGTTAACTAACTATTTTTTAGAATAGTATCAATATAATATTACATGATAGACGATATATCTTTTTTTTTTAAAAAAAAATAATGTATAGAAAAAATATATAGCACTTTTTGAATTAGCTATATCTTCAAACTTTTATTTATAAAATTTTTATTTAAAATTAAACCTTACTTTTTATTATCTATGGTTAAAAGAAATAGTTTTACAAAATATATTTTATTATAAAAAAAAATACTAAATTATTTATTAAAAAGAATTTAAATTAGTAAGTTAAATATTAAACAATTGTAATCAAATCATAAGTTCATTTTTTTTTTCATAATTATAACCTTTTTAAATAAATTTATTTTAATTTTTTTTTTTTTTATAATATAAATAATATTTTAAAGATCTAATTAAAGATTAAACAATAACTTTTTAATATACAAAAATTATTATTAAAATAATTTAACTATATGATTTAAAAAATATCAATAAATTAAATTATTTGAATTTGAATTAAACAATTGAAAAATTGTTTATTATAAGAATTATTATTATTATCAAGAAATATATAATAAATAAATCATGTTTAATTTAAAATAATTAAAATATAAAATATAAAATTTATGGTTTTACTATATCATTTTTATTAATAATTATAACTTAAAATAATTAATTAAATTTATCAATTTTATTTATAATACAAATTAATATAATTATTTTATATATTTATAATTAAAATTGTATATCAAAACTAGAGAATCCTTTCTTTTTTTTTGTAAATAAAATTAAGGCAAATACTAAAAGAAAATTCAGAAAATTAAAAAAAAGAAAAAAAAAATTTAATTAAAAAATAATCAAAAAATAATAAAAAAAGCTTACCTTTTTTTTTGTAAATGACAACAGAAGTAAGAATTAAAATGATTTTCTAAAGATAAATCAAAAGAAAAAATTAGAAAAAATAAAATAAAAAATTAATTAAAAAGAATTTATATTTATTTTTTGTAGATAATGAAATTTAGAAATGAAGACAAATTTTTATAGGAAAATCAAAAGATTAGGGAATTAAAAAAAAATTAATGCTTATTATAAACTTTAATTATTATCACAAAGGTAGATTATTTTTTTTAAAAAAAAAAGTTATTTACTTTTTTTATAGATACCAGTTTTCTTTAAGTTATAATTGATGTAACTTTTAAAAAAAAAAATAATAAATTATATTATATATTTTAGAAGTTAGTTAAACTAACTTTCAAAACTTTGATTGAAAGGCTTAAATTAATTAGAAGTAAGTATTGTTATTTATTTTTTTTATAAAAAAATTAGCATCATATCTCAATACGGTGATATATATTTTCTATATCTCAAGTATTTGAGACTGTCTTACACATGTTTCAAAGTGTCCCACTTTAAATCCTAATATTCCAGATTATATCTCAACAATATTCTATGATAACACTATTTTAATATAATGAAATTAATATTTAGACTTTATTATAAGAAAATTTATTATTACTGTAATAAATTATTTGATATAATAGATGATTACTGAAAAAGGAAAATACAAACATATAATATAATTAAAAATAATTTTATGATATCATTCTATAAAATAGCCTTTTCAAAATTAAAGTTAAAGTGATATTGAAACAATTTCAATAATATAAAAATTAAATTAATCTCAAATAAAACAATTTATAATAATAAATATAAATTTATTTTTAAAAGTTTTTATTATTTACTATAATTGAAAATAAAAAAAAATGGTTTTATTTTAATAAAAAACTGAAATCTTTTCAATAAATAAATAAAAAAAATTATTAATCAATATTATTTATATGAAAAAAAAGTTAAAAAATAAAAATAAAATAATTTAAAAAAATTAAAACTCTAATAAAAATAAGAAATTAAAAAAACAAAAAAAAAATTAAACTTTCTACTTTTTTAACTACTAATTTATCATCAACATATTGCAGGTTCTTCTTTAATGATACCTTATCACTAAAATGTAAAATTACTTAATATAAATCTAAAAATTCCTAAAATTTTTATTAAGAATTATCATTTAAAACATTTTTAATAATTATTTGATCTATTCTAAAACTTCTAAAACCTGGTTCAAAAGAAATTATAAAATCATTTACCAATATATGATTATCTTTCTTAAAAATAGGAACCATAATTAATAATGTTACAACTTTTAATATCACAATATATATTACAATTAGTTTTGATCTATATATATAGTAACTTATAATATTGCAACATATTTTGCAACTAATTTTAACTTATATAGTAATATGTTATAAATTTGAAATTAATTACTACACCATTTTTAATCTTTCTCCTTTTTTCACACTATTATACTAATCACAAAAATCCTAAAGAATTAATTATACTATTAAGTTAGAGTTCTAAACAGATCAAATCAGAGTGGATAATTGGCTTAATCTGATCTGATAAGATTAGGTTGGATTAATCATAAAATTGATCTAAATTTGACCCAATTTGACATAATCTAACCTAATCTGCATATAATATGATTTCAGATTAATTGTAAAAATAATATAATAAATATGAAACTAAAAAAAATTTTTAAAAAAAAATAAAAAATAAAAAATTATTAATATATTGATACATTTTATTATTTCAATAAAAATAATTTTCAAAATAAATAAAACAAAAAATTTACTAATATAATAATATTTTTATAAAATTCCTATTATTTATTAATTGCAAAATTTAAAATTACAAGTTATAATAAATTTGCAAGTCAGATGACTGCTAATATAATTATAAAAACATGTATAACTTTATAATTATTAGTAGATAACACAGATAACACTATATATATAATATTATCTACTTATTTTATAGTACTACCTTACCTACTTACTTGTTTTTGATGTTCTGTAGCCTTTTTATTATCTTATAGCTATCTGCTATCTACTTACTTATTTTTGGTGTTCTGTGGTCTTTTTATTGCCTTATAGTTATTTACTTGTTTTCAATATTCTATGGTCTTTTTGTTATCTTATAGCTATTTAATTAGCGTTGATTTCCTGCATTTGAATGAATATTAAATTCTATATTGAGTTGTTGACCTTCTGTAGCTGTTTTGATACTTGGTTTTATATCAAGAGTGCTGGCTTTCTATACCTGATCAGATATCTGGATTCTATATTAGAAGCTTGCTGACCTTTTGTTACTATTTAGTTACTTGGTTTTATGTTGAGAACACTAGCCTTCTACATCTGAATGGTTTCTCAGTTTTATATTGAGATGCTTATTATTTACTCCTGCTTGATTACTTGTTTAAATGCCAAATTTTCTGAGACAGCTCATTCTGAAAATTGTGATAAAAAAATCATGTCAGTGGTATAGTAAATTCGTGATTAATTTGGTTAGCTCTATGTCATAATTTTTGCCATTTTTTAGAGCACGTGATTTGAGTATCTAACTTAGCATTATGGTAGCATTATGAAGCTAGTGAAGAACTAGCAGAAAACTAGAGTGATTTTATTAATTCACTACTTTTATGCCAACTTGGATGTCGAGTTAT